AAACTGTTTATTTTCCCTAATAGTTGAAATAGAAACCCAGTGGAAGTAAGCATCTAGTCAGATGCACAGCTACAAACTGTTTGCATACTGCTGGCTATGGTTAAATAACCAGCCTCTGGGAGGCAGAGGAAGTCTGTGGAGAACTCAGCACAAGCTGAAGTGTCAAGACACCTATTCTTTTGTCTCAAAGTATTTCCTGAGCTGTAAAGTAATGATTACTCACTCACCATAAGGAGGCATTATGAACATCAATACTTATTAAAATTAGAGCACTTAAAGTGCTGGTGATGGAGGAAATACATGTGTAAAGGGAGGAGGGAGCTAAATTCTTTCGGTTTTGAAGCAAAAAGAGGTAATACTTAATGATTTTTGCAGTACTTCATTTTCTTTGTGGATTAAAAATGCAATTTTAATATGACAAAGAGGCTGCTGGCTAGCGGAGAAAAGGATTAGTGGCACCTCACACTGAGAGAGATTGAGATTTGGAAGTAATTTGTTTGGTCCTGCTGATTTTTGTGGCAATGAAGTACTAAGCTGCTTCTCTCTTCAGAAAGTGTGCCCACAGGGAGTGCCAGACAGCTTTTCTGACACTCCAAATTAATCATGCAAATTGTTTTTCTGCCAAGATAATATCCTTAGGTCCACTTGTAAACTCAAGTAGATTCTGTTGAGAAGTGAACAGAATTAACAAAATACATAACTATTGTAATAACTGGAATGATGTGGATTCAGTCTAAAAATAAAGAGGCAGTTTTCTTTTAAAGCCTGCATTAATTAGTAAATGAGGGAAAAAACAGCTAAATATTAATATTAAATTTTCTAAGCTAAAAATAAGTTGTCATCATCTTCCAGAAAATGCTAATGGTTTACAAGGGTATTGGAACAATGCAATTTATCACGTAGCCTTTGCTGTGTGTAAAAAAATTACTTAAATATGTCTTTAGTGTATTCTTGAGTCCCTTTAGTGAGACTTTTTTTAATTACACACACACCCTCCATCCCCCCACCCCCTGACTAGTGTTTTTAAGGATGTGACTAGAAGAATGAAAATCTGTAGGGTAATATTTGTTTAATTACTTCTAGGCCTAGGGCCAGTTGCAATCCCTGGTAGTGGAAACAATGTCAACATTCTAAATGATTAATTATAACATTTCTGGCAATATCCTGTGGAGATGCAGTAGACTCTTCTCATCTCACAGCTAGGTCATTTCACATCCTGAACTGCTAAACTGGAGGAGAGTGTAGCTTAGTGTATATGTATTGGAATCTCCTAAAACAAGAGTGTACTCAAGCAGGATAAGGGCCTAATGATGACTGATGTCAGACTTCTCACTAAGCTGAAATGGTAAGTGTTATGCTGCTAAGACTTCTGTTTTATTTTTAATGAGTTAAAATTTGATTTAATCACATGGTCTTAATATATTATGAATTCCAGGTTCTGTGATAACTTACCTAAGTGCTTTTTGTCTTTTAACTAACTTACAATCAATTACCTTTGTAGATTGTTGTTGAAATGAGCTATGATCTTCTCTACTGATGAAGAGGTGGTTCCTAGTTTAAGTAAAGGTGAAATGCACATTTCCATATACGTACCTGATACATACATGTACTTCTGGTTCTGAAGTACAGGTTGAAAACAAACTAAAAATCAGAAACCAATCTTGAAAACAGTGGTGCCCATATTTCAATTCAAATGCTAATAAAGCCACTGAAATCTGTTGGCAAGAAATAGCCTTTGCACTTGAATTTTTTTGAATCCTGTAATATGAAAACTGTATAAAAGGCATTATGAAGGTTTTAATCCTATATTACACGGACTTTAAAAGCTTACATTGTGTTTTTGATGTTTTAAAATAATATGTCCAGATTAGATTAAGAAATACTATTGCCTTTCCAGGAATATTGGAAGCAATCATTCTTCCATTTCCCTATAGTGCATATATGTTGTCCAACTCTCCCCAATCTGTTTCATTTACTTTACCTGAAGAAACAACGTCTATCAGCAGTGTCTCAGATAATTGTAAACTGTATCCTTTGAGTCAGACTTCGTGCTCATTCTCTAGGGGTGGTTCTACATTGCACAATGAAGGTCCAAGATCTGAGCTAGCTGTGAATGAACTGATACAGTTAAATGGCTCATCACGCTTCCATGCAGAAACACTAGGCTGGGTCCCAGAAACAGTATGTTAATATGTACAGCTTCTGGCCTAACCAGCCTTACTTCCCAAGTCTAATTGTTAACCTGTGAACATGAATAATTAGCCAGACTGCAGAATTGCTCTAATGCAATGATACAGTTTCCTGTTCCGGTGCTAGCTTGTTCAAAGCCTGTTCAGTAGTATCTTTTGATTGCTTCTCTTCAGATATGCTCTTAAAAGGTAGATATAGTCCAGAGGCTGCTGTGATAACACCTATCCTATTTTACACAGTAGTTCAGAGGGGCCTCTCAACCTGTTCTGGAGGTTGTGAAGTTACCCAGAATCTCTGCAACATTGTCCGGCTCCTGATGCTTGCTTTAACCTAGGGCTTGCAAAGATGTTCTTTGAAAAGAGCTACATGGAAAGAAGGAATCGTCTTTGTCCTGGGAAAACCTCTCATTAGCTAGAATTAGGCTTTTTCAGCACTACTGAGAAGCTAAGTATTGTATTTATGTACCTGTGATACAGGCTGCAGTTTCCTTCTCCTAAAATGAGTAGAGATCACCATAAAACATTCAATTTTGTTGCATTGCTCTGAACTGAAAACAAATCCTGACATGTAGAGAATGTTGGCCTTGCACATTTTGCAGAAATAGGAGTAATTAGTTCTTAAATTAGAGTTAAGCAAAAGAACCTGAGGGCTAATGTATCAATCAACCAACCACAAATATAAATATATGTATAGTACATGTTGAAACTCTCTTGATGTATGTTTCATGCAATGAAAGTCCAGTATTTCAAATTTGAGTGCCAAGTGAAGTGCATGATTTTCAAAGCTTCTGGATCCATAGATCTAGAATTTAGGATCCATTTTCCAGTAGACTGAGTTTCAGTACCCCATTGGGGCTTCTAAGGTTGAAAATTTTAACTTGAAAGTTATTTTTAGGGTTCATTTTTAGCTATCTAAGCTGAAACAAGTGGAAAGATGGGTTTTCCTGAAATGATCAAAGACTGAAAAATCCTGGCTCTCCTGAAGCCAGCAGCAAATTTCTAATTCACTTAAATGGTCAGGATTCTCCCCCACAGTGTTTAAAGTTCAGTGTACATTTGTTTCTCAAAATTACACTTAAAAAAAAAAGTGCCAAATCAGGCACCAAAGGTGCCCAGATCGTTGGGTGCATTTATAAACCTTGGTTAGGACACAGCAGAATATGGATTAAGGCATGATTAAAGATTTTGAAATCCATCTTTCTAAAATTATTACATATGCAGCAAGTTAGAGCATAGGTATTAATTTAAATGTTATATATTAAAAGTATGTAAGATGAGAAAATTCTTTTAATTTTTACTTAATAATGTTTTGAACCAAGTTATCTCATTATATCATCTGATTATATTTTTTCAAGAATTGTATAAAGGTGTGTGGTGAGCTGGTAGCTAACCAAAACTTCAATTGAAGTTTACAGCATTTAATGGAAATCATTTTTTCCTACTCCTGAAAGGTGAGTGAATTAAAATATATATTTATTAATAATTTTTATCATTTATTTCTGCTTCATTACCTGAATCTTCAACATGTATTCTGCTTGGTGAATATTTTCAGTACTACATGCAATCTACAAACTGAGTTAATGTGTCAGAGTTCAACTGAAGTGTGCCCAAGTGTGGAATTTAATATTCAGAGTCTAAAATTTGGGGGTTCTGTGACCACCGGCTTGCTAAAACATGTGTAGGCCATCGCAGCATGTGGCACAGTTACTCATTTTGTGGATCCCCACAGACCCAAGTGCCTTTCTTGTGTAATGTGATGAGCTTAAACATTTCACTCCAGAAATTACATTGTTGATCTGTGATCTCATCTGCTTATTTTGATAATTTCTGATGTAAATACTATTCTAATACATCTAGAAGAACTTGCATTTTCCTTTCATGTGGAAAATAGGACTAAACCTAAATTAAGTGTGATGCAAAGGAACATTACCCGAAATGTGACTTGGAAATGAAATTATTATTGGATTTAAGTAATTTTTGTTCCATGATATAGAGACTTAAGACAGTAGTATTTTCACTGAGTTTTTACTGCAGCCTATAAGAATGACTTTCAGTAAAAATGAGAGGAAAATCCAGAAATTGATGCCTTGACAGGATAAGTTAATTCGGGGGTGGCTTTCAAAGCCTTTGCTTTCTAGTGGTAGCTCCATAACAGACACTTTGGTGGGAAAAATAATCTTTTTGATGAGGATTTAACATCCTTCCTCTTCTAGTTGTTGAGGAACTCCCTGTTAGAGTCATTCAATGATATGATTCATCCAACCACTCCATGAAAAATAGGTTATTTTTCCTCAGATGTCAGCCTCGTACTTTCCAGCTTCTCAATTCGTGATTTACTTACACACCTGTGGGGTTAAAAAAAAAAAAAAAAAAAAAAATCCTTCCTTGTTTATTGCTCTTCCTCCCCCCCCGTGCCAGGTGAGGCCGGTGCGCGGCCAGGCAGGCGGCACTCCCGCGCCTCTCCCGGCCGTGAGTCAGCGCTTTCCTGAAGGGAGGCGAGGAGGCCTCGCAGCCGGACGGGATACGAAGACCCGGGGCCTCGTTGCCGCCTCCCGCCCGGCGCCCCCTCCCTCCTCCTCCTCGTTAAAGAGTAACGACGCAGCCCGCAACGGGAGCCGCTTCACGCTGTGACGCCGCTCCCCG